GGGAACCTAGACCAAACTAAAAAATAAAAAAGAAAAAGAAGACGATCCTAATACGTTGCACATAGTCACATAATCACATAAGCATGTCAAAAGTCAAGATTCACGCAATGCAGTTCTAAGGTCAAAAAAGGCTTGGGTGTCTAAAGGTACCATACCTTAAGAAACGACGCATAAATCAATCACTCAACGTGTTGACCCATGACATCGCCCTCCTAACATTTTGTTGGTGATATGGGTGGGATGATTGTTATTGATTTCGGGATAAACGCCTAGTGTTGGCGACCCCTAGTCAATGAGCCAATCCCCAATGGTTTAAGTGTGCTATGCTTATGCATGATGCAATGTTGCTTGTTTGGTTTTTACTTTTGTGAAAAAGGAAGATGTTATGCGTTCAAGTTTCGCTCTCTAACTAGAGATTATCCAAGTTAATTCTCGTTACAACCCATAGGCAACCTAGTGTTGGATACCTTGGACCATAACTACGAATTAATCATGTAACCTCTAAGTCCCCAGTGGAGTCGCCACTGTAAGGAGGGTGATCCCATCGTAAGGGGTACTCTCCTTAAATTCCCTTGGCCACTTAAAATCCTAGGACTTTACACTTGTTAGGATGTAGTAAGATTTGAATTCCTGACTGTTTGGGGACCTTGAATTAGAATTGATTCTATCATTATGCTTTTTTGTAAGAAACAAGTAGGAGTCGCCAATGAGTTTTAGGAAAAACTCATAAACCTCGTTCATGCCTTTCTTCCATGTGGAGTTCATGGTATTAGCACGAATCATAAGTTTACCCATGCCCATAAACAAGAAATGAGTTCGGGAGCAAGGGTACTAAGATAACGTTCCTTTTAGAGGGGAATCGTCATCCTAGCCCTAATACGGCGTCTACTAGATCTTCCTTTTTTACAATTTCATCACCAAACAATATATGTAACGCGATACCTAAAACTATGTTAGTTGATTTTATTTACAAACATTAATTCACGTAGGAATTACATTGCAAAAGTCGTTATTCTTATTTAATAATATTCGTGAAAGAATAATAAATAAATAAGATTCGCCTTGGCTTAAGTGATCAACCAACAATTATTTAATTCAATTCTAATCTTTATTTAACGCAAGATACTATGTGGAATTGATTAATTAATTATTTTAAAGGTGATCAAACAACACTAATTAATTAATTAAAGTCCTTTTAAACAAGAAAATAAAGGTGATTTAACTGAGTTCTCGAGAATTTACCACTTCTCTTTGCTAGATCTCCATTTAGAACACTTATGGACACCTTCTTGTTGGGGAACCTCCACCGTAGTAACAAAGTATCGAAAGGGTGAGTGTTTAGGACTAGAGGGCTAGGTTGCACAAGTTCACAAGTTATTTCGCCAGAGTTTTAGGTTAATTTCTGTCTGTTTAAGCCTCGGTTTAAGCTCGTATTTATAGGGAACGATTAGGTTTAGGGTTTCGAGCATTCTTTCGCAGCAGGTGTCGCGCGCAACAGATGAAGTTGCACGCGGCATCCCAGCGCAAGATATAGAGTTGCGCTGCTATATGCAGCGCAACTATCTGTCTTGCGCGGGGCTTTATGGTAAGATTCGATTTTATATTTTCCGTATAATTCCGAATAATTCTGAATCTTCCACAGCACAACTCTGAAAGTTGCGTTGGGTGTCGCGCGCAACTAAATTAGTTGAGCGCGGCAGCCCATCGCGACTTTATGAGATGCGCGCGGATTTTTCTGCGGCAGCACTAAGTTTTAACCTAGGCGCTCCTAAATCCGTCATTTTTAGGGTTTAAGCACGGGCTTAAGCCTAAATATGATCGGGTTTAGTTAATTGGACCTTTGTTTTGGCTTTTTCTTCAATTTGGGCTAGTCTTTTGTGTTTTGTGGCTTAACTAGTTATCCATAAGCATTCTTCACTTCGATCTAACACGAAGATGGTTTTATTTATCGTCATTGCACTTTCTGTCGGGATAGGAGGCCAAAAGTATATGTCTACACTCTCATAACCATATTTGATGTGAAAGTGAATTCTAGTCAGTATGGTAAATGGAGGTTCTCTAGTATTTATGGGTACCCTGAAGAAGAAAACAAACTGAAAACCGGGCTGCTCTTATAAAGCTTATGGGATCCTTGTGAAGGGCCATGGATTTGTGGTGGTGATCTTAATCTCATGATGCAATCTAACGAGAAGTTTGGGGGTCAGGATTTTTGTGTTGAGGAAGCTGACATCCTAAGGGAGGCTGCCACCCATTGTAATCTTGAGGACCTTGGATATATTGGGCATGACTACACTTGGTCGAATAATAGAGGGAGAACGGAGAATATCCAAGAACGTATTGACCGTTTTCTTACAAATAGGGCGTGGAGAGAGGCTTTCCCGGGCTCTTTTGTTTTGCACCTCTCGAAGAAAAAAATCTGATCATCTTCCAATACTCTTATGCATAAAGGAGGCCTTGAATACTCCAAAAAAAAGAAGTAAAAAAATCTTTATCAGTTTGAAGAAATGTGGCTCCGTGATGAGAATTGCACTTACATTATTTCGGATGCATGGGAAAGAGGTGGTGATCTGTGTTCCAAAATTGCTTTTACCTCGACCAGGTTGAGTGCGTGGAGTAGAGAAAATATTGGGATTTCATCAAATAATAATAGGCGTGTAGGGGGCCAAATGGAGAGGCTTATGGAAGAATCTCAAACTGAAGAGGTTATAGCCTAAATGAAAGCCATCGATGATAAAATGGACGAACTTGAGAGAAGGGAAAAGATGTACTGGAACCAGAGGAGCAGGAAAGATTGGTTTAAACATGGAGATAAAAAAATCACTTTCTTTCATACAAAGACCAAGCAACGAGCTGAAAGGAATAATATAAAAAAAATAAAGATGCAGGGAACGAATTTACAGATGAAGAGCAAATCACGAAAGTTTTTGTGAACTATTTTAGCGACCTTTTTGCTGGGAATAGTCACATTGAGCCAGAACTTGTTATTGAGAAGGTGGAGAAAATTGTCTCTGATCGACATTACAACAACTTGGCCGCCCCTTTTACCGCTGAGGAAGTGCGAGCCGCTCTCTTTCAGATGCATCCGACGAAGGCTCCTGACCCTGGTGGTATGTCTGCAGTTTTTTTTTTCAAAAATTTTGGGATATTGTAGGCTCTGATGTCGTGGAAAAAGTGTTGCATATTTTGAATAATGATGGTGATATAGGTTCTATTAATCAGACTCATATTGTATTATCCCGAAAAAAAAAGAGTGTGAGTCTCCTATTGATTATAGGCCTATTAGTTTGTGTAATGTGTTGTACAAAATTGTCACCAAAGTACTAGCTAATCGTCTTAAGATATTACTAGCTTTCATTATTCATGAGTCGCAAAGTGGTTTTGTTCCTGGGAGATTGATCACAAACAATGTTTTGGTTGCGTAGGAGTGTTTTCACTATCTCGAGAAAAAGAAAAAAGGGAAGAAGGGTTTTCTCGGCCTCAAACTTGATATGAGCAATGCTTATGACAGAGTAGAATGGGCTTTTCTTGAAAAAATGATGATAAAATTGGGTCTACTAAATTCTATTGTTTCGTTGATTATAAGATGTGCTGATTTTGATGTACTAGCCAATGGGCAACCGTCGAGGAGTTTTAAGCCAAGTAGAGGGATAAGGCAAGGTGACCCTCTTTCAACTTTCCTTTTTATCATGTGTGCATAGGGCCTCTCGACACTTCTCAAAGATGCGGAAAGGAGAAATGTTATTCATGGGGTGAAAATAGGAAGACATGTTAATCCTATTTCTCACTTATTTTTTGCAGATGTCAGTCTCCTGTTTGTCAGAGCGACAGAGGAAGAGGTTGATATTGTGTTAGGGATTCTTTCCACTTATGAGGTGGCTTCTGGTCAGAAACTGAATATGGACAAATCGGAAGTGTCCTTTAGCTGAAACATTGAGCAAGAACGGAAGAACATGCTTCAGATGAAGTTATCTTTTAAGGTTGTCGAACAACATGATAAATACTTGGGGTTACCAACTTACATTGGTAGCTTTAAGAAATAGGTGTTCCATAACATTTAGGATCATATCTAGAAGAAACTAAAGGGGTGGAAAGGTAATTTTCTATCACAAGCTGGTCGGGAGGTGTTGCTTAAGTCTATTGCTCAGGCAATTCCTACATATACAATGCAATGTTTCTCAATTCCGATGAGTATACTTAATGGGATTGAAAAATTGAGTCGTCGGTTTTTTTGGGGCCAGAAAGGGGAATAAAAGAAGCTGTGTTGGATAGGTTAGCACAAGCTTTATTTGCCTAAGAAAGAAGGGGGTCTCGGCTTTCGTAACATGAGAAATTTCAATAGAGCTCTACTTGGTAAGCAAGCGTGGCGCATCATGACAAATGAGGATTCTCTTGTGGTTCGTGTTCTTAAGGGGAAATATTTTCCCAACTCTTCTTTTTTGGAGGCAAAAGTGTACTCGAATTCAAGTTACACTTGGAGGTCGATCATGGGAGCCAGAGATGTTCTCCGAAAGGGGGCTAGGAAGGCAGTGGGAAATGGTTATACAATGCATATATGGAATGACCCATGGGTTACAACTTTTCCTAATTTTAAGGTGTCTTCAAGTCCGGGGGATAGTGATGGGGTGCCAATCTTTGTTCGTGATTTATGGGTCAATGATGCGTGGGATCTCACAACCCTTAGTACGCACTTCTCCTCTATGGAGGTGAATGAGATTTGCAATATTCTCGTACCCTTATATAATAGAAATGACGCTTGGGTGTGGCATCATACAAAGGATGGTTGTTATTCGATGAAAAGTGCTTATAATCTGTTGACAATTGAGGGAAAAAAATTCTACTGCCACTTCTTCAATTGTTGGCTGTAATTTTGAGTGGCATGTTGTGTGGAACGCTGACATCCCTCCCAAGGTGAAAACTTTTTCTTGGAGAGCCATCAAGGAGTTGTGGCTGCTCGACAAAGCTTAGTTCAAAGAGGTATGACCCTTGACCCTATTTGTCCCATGTGTGGTGCTGAAAATGAATCTGTTTTACACATGCTTGTGTCTTGCTCTGATGTAAAAAGAATTTGGTACCTTTACCCTTTACGGTTGGAGGTGGATAAATTTGAAGGTCCGTCTTTCGGGGATTGGTGTGTTTATGTTCGTGTGTATTACAAAGACTCTCATTGGTGGAATATCTTTTTTGCTATGTTATGGGGAATTTGGTTACGTAGAAACACGTGCAGTTTTGAGAAGCGTAGGAAGAATATGGTTGTTGTTATCCACAATGCAGTGAGTTTGGTAGGTGATTATGAACAAGCTCAGGTGGTTGTGAGCTCGCCTACCTGTAACCCGCAGCATTTGGAGTCTTTTTGGAAGCCTCCTGCCAATGGGGTGATAAAAATTAACTCTGATGCAGCGATCTTTAGTGATAACTCTGCGGGTTTGGGTGGAGTGCTGTGGGATTCAGCAGGGGATGTGGTGGTGTCTACTTGCCTTCATCTTTGAGGCAAGTATGATGTTGATGTGGCTGAGGCTCTCGCGGTGAGACATTCATTGAGTATATCTCTTGAATCAAGTTTGAGGAATGTTTGCTTGGAAACGGATTGCCTCAAGGTGTTTAGCCATCTGTCAAAGGGATGTGCTCCCTCTACTGTCTTTGGCATGGTTATTAATGATATTATTTAGCTTGCACTTGGCTGCCAATCGTGCTCTTTCTCCTTTGTCAAGCGAAATGGTAATGGTGTTGCTCATGCTTTAGCCAAACTTAGTTCTTCTTTTTGGGATCTTAGAGTGTGGATGGAGGAAGTACCTTGTGATATTTTGAGTTTTGTAATGGTTGATTTAGCCTTTGCTTTTGAGTAATAAAATTGGTGTGATCATTTCCCGTAAAAAATAATCAATTCAGTTTAGTTCAGTTCAACTCCTAATTTCCTTCTCTCATAAAATATTCATTTCAACTCAGTTCAATTCAACTCAGTTCAATAAATGTGAACAAACCCTTAATTTTACGAGTCTAGACTTTCAATAGGGGTGTCTATTTGGATTTTGGCCAAATTCATTCCAATTTGAAATAAAATTCAGTTTTTAATTTTCAAATTCAATCTGATTCGAATTTCTCATCAATCAAATTCGAATTACAATTTGGTTATTTGGATCCAATCCGAAAATCTGAATTAAAATACATCGTAGATTTTTAGGGGCTAAAGTAATTATAAAAATAAAAATCCAATTATAAAGTTGTACATTATTAATATGAGTATTGAAAACATAGTTTTACATAATTTATATTAGGAAAATTTGTCAGACAAAATCTTTTAAAAGCATCATTTTACGAAAAGAAAAAAATCACCACGTTCATTTTTTTTCGAATGGAAACCTATTTACTTAATTACCCTCTAATTTACTTAATTAAAATCTTTTATTTCCTCCCATTTCTTCTAATTAAGCTCTAACCCACCAAATTACTAAATAACTAAATTTAATTTATATATAAAACAAAACACCACCCCAGCCACCTTCTCCTTTTCCCACTCCCTTGGTAGAAACCCCTTCCTCCACTGGACCCGCTGCCTAAATCCCCCACCTCCGGCGACCTACCTAAATTGAGCTCGAAACAAGCATAAAACAACGTACTTGATTCATTTGCGTGTTATTGATTTTTAAGCCGAATTGACGCTATTTTTTTTCCCTTTTTGAGCTTTATTTGGAATCTTAAGGGTTAAAATGATGTCCAAAACCTTTACGAGACATTATTCGACATGCAAATCGAAAAAATTCAGCGTTCCGACAAGAATGGTGGCCGGAAGACTCACTAAAGGTGCGCTTTGCACCCAAGTTATTAGTTTGTGATGTTTTGACTACTAAGCAAAGTACAGGCTACTAGGTGCACCCAAGCCATAGTTAAGATGTAGAGGCCAATTTTGCCAAATAAATATGGTTTATGACTTAATTTTATGAAGAAGTAACTTAACATTGCTGTAGCCAATTTCGTAAGTGTAAACTCATATTCCTATATTTTTCATTGGTAGATTCACCTGACTGCTGTAATCTGCCACTTGTTTTCCTCTAGATCTGTTTGCAGACAGTTTTTTTTGTTGTTATTTCTTAGGAGGTTGGTGTGTTGTTGGTTAACTTGACTCTCCAACTTGTGTGGACTTCCAACTTGTGTGGACTTAGGTGTCCTTACTCTAGTAGTGAAAGTGTCTTGTAGTGGCAAAGGGCACTTCCTTTTGTTGTGACCAGGTTGTCCACAATTTGTGCATTTGTGCACTTCACCCTTCTTATACACCTTGCACCCTTAAACTAACCTCACCAAGAGAAGGCCTGGATTTCTCATTGTAATTGGTTCGTTTCGTAATTTTTCTAACCACTAGTGGTGTATTTGGGCATAAGGAGATTATGGCCACTCTTAGGGACCATTTAATGGCTCAAGACTCAATAGGATAGTCATATGCCTTTAAGTATGTTTCCTTATTAACCAATAAGAAACATAATGTTTGGGTGCTCAACAACCTTCTATGTTCGGGTTTTTAGTTTTTCACATAATTTTGCACAGCTCTATTGAAAATCAGTATCTTATCCTGTTAATTTTACCTGTATTATTAGTGAATATACACTTAGAGCAAGAACCAAGGGATCTATATGAACAAACAAAAAAAAAACCATTGAGCCATTACTCTTTATGGAAATAAAGTTAAAAGCCCAATAACACTAACCCAATTGATTTAATTACTTGCGTCGTGTTGTATCAAATAAATTCGTGTAGTAAAATGTGTCATAAACCTAGAGATATTAATGGGGTAGGGCATGGAGAATATTGGCTTTTGTGTAAAAAGGTAAGGGCTCTACCACTAGACTGTTGAACATATACTGATACTTAGTACATTGTTTTATATTTAACCCATGTTTGTTTAAAGTTTCTCCTTTACAAAAAAATCTATCCGATTTATGAAAGTTGTATATCAATCCGAGGTTATGTTTTTTTTTTTCGATCAATGAACACTGTGCATTCGCTACAATATGCAAGTATGTTTGTGAAATAATTAAGGAAATCATATCATTCCACAAATCGCCATGGTTTTCCCATATAAAATCGATACGGAAAACATAATAATACATATCCACACTATTTTTGCACATTTATAAAATTATGAGATTTCGTATCATTTACAATCGTCACTAAATCCCAAAAATCAATACGAAAAGCCTTTTCTGCACTAGATATAAATATATTGTTTGACAAAGAATACATAAAATATGTCATAGCTTATTGGCGAAACATTGAATATAAGAGTTTGAGGTTATATGTTTCAAATCTTGTAAAGATCATATGTATGATTTTTTTTTTTTTTGAAGAAAATGAGTTCAACATTTATACCAATTATAATCGCTACAACAATCACCACGATTGGAACATTTATATCAATTATAATTGCTACAATAATCACCACGATTGGATGTAGTTTTTTGTATCGATTATTGAGACCAACACTACTAAAGGCTAAGGTAACAGCAGATATTGTATCAAATGACCATTCATTGGGAAAGCCTTTTATTGCAATTAAAATCGATACTAAAGATTAAAATAATCGCTATGAAAAGGTTATTTTCTTGTAGTGGAACTAAGGTTATTTCAAAACTTATTCACATTAATGCTCTTGTTTAAAACTTACTCTCTCCGTATTGCATTAGTTGCAACAGTAGGCTTGTCTCATAGTTTAAGAAAATTATAGAGTAGGCTTATAGGGTTATTAAATACTCCATAAAGTATTGTTAGTAAGATAGGGAAATAATAATAATAAAAAAAAATTAAGTAGTGTGAGTGGGGTTGGTAGGAAAGAGAGATAATAAAATATTTGTAAAAGTGGAGTTAGTGGGAGAGAGAAATTATAAAATAATAGGGGGTCCTTTTCAAATATAGTAGAGTTGCAACTAACATGAAAAGACCAAAAATGGAAAGTGTTGCAATTAATGCGAAACGGAAGGAGTATTTATGGTCGTGTTTGGTGAATAACTTAACGCTGAAAGCTTATGCTAATTAGATTAGCTAATTTTGACTAGCTGATTGTATTAACTGATTTGACTAACTTATTTTATTAGCTGATTGTATAAAATTGTTTGGTAAATAACTGATAGCTTAAAGTTGATTGAAGAAATGACCAATAAGCCAATTGTGGGGTAGGTAGTTTAGGTAGGATTTTAAATTAAATGGGGGTATAAATGTCATTTCACCATAAATTAATGAATAACCTAATTGAAAAGTCATATAAAAGGATCTTTTTCAAAAAGAGCTTATTTATTAGTAGAATAAGCTCTTCAAATAAGCTTCTCACCAAACACATTGAATTAACTTATTTAATAGTCAATAAGCTAATATTGGTCAAATAAGTTAATTTTGCTCAAATAAGCTGTTTACCAAACACAGCCTACATAATCGTTGTCCATGTAGGTTCAGAGGTATTGTTTTTTTTTTGTAAAGTGAAAACTCTATTCTAAGAGTATGTTCACATTTATTAAGCTGAACTGAATTGAATTATTTATGAGAGAAAGAAATTAGGAACTGAACTGAGTTGAACTGAACTGAATTGAGCTGAACTGAACTGAAATGAACTGAAATTAAACTGTACAGATCGAATAGACCTTAAGTTGTCTTCAGCTTATTTTTAGTTTAATGCAATTCAGTTCAATTTTTAATTTCCTTCTCTAATAAAATATTTAGTTCAGTTCAGTTCCAATAAGGCCCTGTTTGGTGATTAGTGGTTAGTTGATTGATAAGAGTTGGTTGCATTAGCTGTTTTACTAGTTGGTTGCATTAGCTGTTTTGACTAGTTGATTTATAAGAGGTTTTTATGTAGAGTTGTTTAGTAAAATTAGCTTATTATTTGTAGTTGTTTGTTAGTTGAACATATGAAATGACAATTTAGGATATTGATAAATTTTTTTTACTTTACTAGGGTAAGAAATTGGGAGGGCAAGAATGTGAATTGGAGTAACCTTTAGGATAAAATTGTCTTTTCACATTCATTACTCAATAAGATAGTTTAAAAAGCTCTATTTTTTAGCTTTTTACATATTAGCTTATTTGCCTCAATAAGCTCATTTAAAAAGCTCTTTTACCAAACAACCAAATTAGATGGGTCGTACGTGTTTGGTGAAAAGATGAAAGCTGAAAGATGAATCTTATTGTGTTAGTTGATTTTGACTAGCTTATTGTATTAACTGATTTAACTAACTTATCATATTAGCTGATTGTATAAAAGTTTTTGGTAAATAGGTGATTTCCTGAAGCTAATTGAGTATACAAAATGACCAATAAGGACAATGACATATTCAATTTTCAAGGATAATTATTGCACAAAAGATAGATATATTGTTAGATATATTTACATGCTATGTATATATTATTGGGCATATGGTTTTCCTCACAAAATAAAAATTAAGATAATTTTTTTGTTAAAAAAAAAATAAATAATGAAAGAAAACTAAACGACACAAAATCAAAACAA